CATTACGCCCAATATATTTATAATATAATCTTTCAATTTGTATATCATTTTCAACCGATTTCAGAAACTAGGAGGTAGTCAAGTCATTCGTATGGTTTTTGTATAGAATGTACAGTAACACTGTTATTTTTTTAGTAACAAGATTTTACATCAAAACATGAAATTCTTTTATTGAAAAAAATAATTAAAAAAATACATAATACATATTTACTTTTAAAGTAATTTTAAGCCACCAGTTAAAAAGTAACTATCAAATATAACTCAACAAAAATATAGACGTCAAATACGTATATAGTTTATCAAACGTAAAGCGTGAAACGACAATTTAATTGCCACACTCACAGATCACTCCAGATATAATAAAAAATATCTAAGCATAATTCTACGAAACTATTTCAATACGCCCTCTTATACTAACAAAATATTTGAAAATAACAATGTTGTGTCTACATATGATTTACGTACGTATAAATACAGCGAGCGATACTAAGTGCTTTAAGTACTATACCAAGAATCAAGATCATATATGATTTATAGTATAAAGAGCGTGACTCAACAGTTCTGTTATACAAATAAATTAAATTCAAAATGTCAGATGATAAAGGATGATTACGTTATTATGCTATGATGATTACGTTTTTATATCTATATCTATACATATAATAAAATTGTAACTAAGCCGAATCTGTATATTAAATATGTTTTGGAAAATCTTATTGAAATAGACTTTATTATCGATACAGAGACCGAATCTATAGTTTAAGAATGCCTGTCTGCCTAGGAAAGTATCGCGAGAAAACCACTGGACAGATTTTGATGAAATTTGGTGTGATGATAGATGCGCTAATGATCTAGGCGCAAAACTCGAGAACAACTGGACTAATTCGGCTACCTTTTTTATTCAAATATTCCCTAAAGTCCGAGGAAGATTCTTATGAAGAGAAAAATTGGAAAAAAATGCCCGAAAAAACGTAAAAACACAATTTTTCTGATCGGGCTCCGCTACACACTTGATTCAAATAAAAGAAAATGGTGAAAATCTCGTATGTTATTTTAAAGATATCCTACGACATAACGCGTAATAAAACATAAGAGTGGTCAATTAAATAATTCATAGGTAGATGACTTAAATTGCACTGGAAGTCATAAATTGAATCTATATTTGGATAGATTATATTGACCGATATATCAATATATATTAACATATTGTATAAAGGACAACTCGGACGAACCATCTTTTCTCGTGGAAATGAGAGATATTCTTTAGTAAAAGGTATTCTAAATGTTAACTCGAATAATAAGTTGTCACTTCTCGAAATTTGTCTAAAATCCAATTAGTACTTTTAGCGTGAAAACTATACTGATTAACAAACAAACAGACAAATTTTAGCTAATTTTAGAAAAAAATTAGCTACTATTGTTATGGGATTTATATACTGTACACAATTCCTATTAGTCATTGTTTTTCGAGTTAGAACTCTATTATATGTATAGATGGTAAGCATATAGTTTATTACTTCAGTCGGGTAAGAGCTAAACGTGTCTCCATCACTAAACTAATATTATTGTTCATAAGAAAGTGTCATACCGTCCTTCTCCATATCCTCACTTATAGGTACTATTAGATCTTTCTATAATCTGTCAATTTACCAGTCAGATTTACAAACACCAGCCCATTTATTGACCAAGATATTATTAGAAGAGGAATAATCTATACAGATAAATAAAATTGAAGTGTCTGTTTGTAATGTCAAAATAACAGCGTTTTAGTAAATGCATATGAAATTATATACGGTACTTATAAGAAAAAAACATTTTTTTTTATTTTTTGTCTGTCTGACTGTTTGTTCCGGATAATCTCTGAAACGGTTGGACTGATTTTGACGGGACTTTCACTGGAAGATAGCTGATGTTATAGGGAGTAACATAGGCTACTTTTATTTGTACATTAATAAGTTACGCGGGCAAATAACGCGGGTAAATAAGCAAAGTTTCGGGCAAAAGTTAACATTATCTAAATTGACTTTATTAATTTATAATATTTACACTATGCTGTATCCTCAGGAAAAACCAACTACCGGCAAGATCATGAATGGAACTCTACATACTAATTCCCTCGTGATCTAATAAACATTTTACAGGTAAAAAAGTATATTTTAATGGAATATTAATAACAAAAAAACGTCAACTATGACGTTCATTGTGTATGTAATTGTGCATACCCAATGTACGCAAGCATGGTCTTGCTAACAAAACAATTACTTATCTAGAGTCGTCAAGTCAGCAGAGAACCACACGACAGACAGACCACACGTAAGAATAAATACATTTGAATTTAGCTATGCTAAGATCTAAGTTTTAACCTTCTAGTTCCAATTGATTTAAGTGTGAACTATGAAATACAAGTGTTAAAAATATAACTTTAAGGCACTGACATTTTTACAGCTACAGTGAGCTTTATAGTTTAGGGTGATGACGTGATTACCTTATACAAATATGTGTAAGACTAAGGCTAAGGAATTATATAGACGGAACTTGTCAAAAAGAGACTGTGTTTATATTACTACTAGCGACTCATCCTCTCTCCGCTTGGGTTTGTCCCTAGTTACGTTTTAACGTTTAGCTCAGAGATGAGATATTTTTCCGCTGTAAAAAGTATTCTATGTGTTGACTCGGATAACCAGCTATCATAATACCAAATTTCATCAAAATTTGGTTTTCTCGTGACGCGGTCACAGACAGACAAAAATACTAAAAACTATAGATTTGGCCTCTGTATCGATAATAACGTCTATTTCAATAAGATTTTACAAAAAATATTTAATGTACAGATTCGGCTTAGTTACAATGTTATTATATCTTATAGATTGTCGATTTCAACATACATGTCGTCCACTTTTTTTAAAGATTAAACGATAATTTTATATAGGTATTAGTACTTAGTTAATTTACAATTTTTGAGAAAGATGAATAGGTAATAAAAACGAATGTTATTTTGTACATATTTTTAAACATTAATTCTCTTTCCATTGAAAAGTGTTAAAACATACCCAATATTGGCTTATTTTTATTTATTTTTACAGCAATGAATATCCTATTAATATTTGTATTATTTTTTAAAACATTATATAATATATTATTTTAAATAATTATTGTTTGGTTTCATGCTTAGTTCTAAGACACTATCTATATTATTCCTTAGTCTGAGGTAGAAGCTTGAGTAAAATTTTTTGACGATTGTCGCATGTCTCAAAAATTCAATTAAATTACTGTAACGATTATGTAGTGTGTGTGAGCAGTGTGGAGTAGAGATCAGCGGCTAGCGAGGCAAATGGTTTTGAAGTGAAACTTCTTTAGAATCGTTGTGACTTGAAACTCGATGAAACAAAAATGCGACACGAGAAAGAGACAAACACATAAATACATATATAGGATTAAGCCCGCGAGAGAATGAGAAAGGAACATTACACAGGAAGTGAAAAATAATACTGAATAATATGATATGTAATATTATGTTAAATAAAATTTAAAATAACTTTTCAACTTGGTAAAAAAAACTAAACCTTACAATTATCCTACTACTGATACTCTACATATATATGTTCGTCTCATTCTCTTATAGGTAACTTTTCTGAACTTTTTTACCGTGAGTGAATTGCACACACACACACACACACTTTATGCTTTTTTTTATTAATTTGGTAAAATTAACTGGCAGAATGTATTGGGTCTGTGTACGCAATTCTAATCATTACGAAAAAAAAGAATGACACTAATTTATTTATGATGTAAGATGAAAGTATATTTCCTACTCTTATCAGTATACTAATCTTTACATAGTATAAAATGAAGTCGCTTCCGCTGTCTGTTCGCTTCGATCTCTTAAACTACTTAACGATTTTTAATGCAGTTTTCAGCAATAGATAGTCTGATTCAAGAGGAAGGTTTATATGTATAATACATGCATGTTATAGTACAGAAAAGCCGGGAAATTGGAAGGTTTGTGTTTCATACTAACCGTTAAAACGTACCTAGGGCCGAACCCGAGCGAAGCGAGGGTGAGTCGCTAGTATTACATAATTTCAATATTATCTTTTTACGGAACGCAAAGAGAGCGATATAGATTTCTACCCGACTGCTTAAAGTATTAAGTAGTAAAGTAGATATGTATTTATTTAGCTTTATTACTACAATATGTCGCCTTAGTGCATATTTGTTCAAACTATACTCAACTCTACATTAGAGTTATTTTTTCTCTATTTTAAAAACAAAGCTTCATTTCTAAGATTTATAAACATATTTTCGGCTTTTTAAGTACCTTTAATGTGTATTTTATACCCATAAAATTAATATTTAAAGGTAAAAAAAAAAAAAACACTAATAGTAGTTTTTTATATTAATTTTATTATTTAAACACTTTTTGCGCTCAACTTGAAAAATACCGTTATGTTTGCTCATATATTGTTAAAAAAATCTCAAGTTTTAAGCAGTGGACGGAAAAATATTATTACCCATAATATACTTTGACAACTCTATTTACTCTTTTAAAAGACTGAATAATTAACATTTTTTACACTTAGTATAGGTGATTATAGGAATTCATTCTAATCCATATTAATATAATAAATACGAAAGTAGTTTTGTCGGTCTATTGCATTTTCACGCTTTTGGGCGTTGATGAATCCGTCAGGAAAAGAAACTTTAAGTCTTTATTTAAATAAAATTAGTTTCATGTATATTTATAGAATATTATAGCCGGCTAAATATCGAAGATGAACAAGATAAAATATTGCTATTTACTTAAGCATCTTAGTAATGTTCTATTAGTTATAAAATCACAGTGACATAACCGTTCATCATTTTTAATTGACGTATAAACATTTAAAACATAATTCCTATTTTGAGCGGCATAAATTATCATAATAAGCCAAATACAACATAATAATAAACACAGTTAATGTATTTTAAGGAGTATAATAATTATAATGAAATGAGCTCACCTCGCAAACGCACGCGACTTGCTCCTGTGTGAAACCGAAACTCGGCAGGGGGGCATCTCTAGGGGGGGTGGCCTCCCGCTGGCCCCACTCCGGGCCCCCCAGCATGTCCAAATGCTCGTCCCCAGCCACTTTGACACCACAAAAGTCCACACGCGAAAAATTAACTTTTTACTTTTAAAAATAGTATTTAGATTATAAAATCAGTCACAGAAATATTAATTTGTTAAAACTTCAAATAATTGCAATTTGCGCGGCAAAATTGACATATAAATAGCAATTATTAAGTAATTTCACAGATAATTTAATTTACTCTATATTCAAAAATATTTACCACAGATTATTAAAACTATTATTTTACAGATAAAACGAGTTTAACTTAAATGCTTTGGTATTGTTCTTTTACTGTGTTTTTTTGTTTAAATAATTCGAAGGCAGCAGTCCCAAAAATGTTTGAACAAAACCTTAAACGATTACTTATTTGTTTAACAGGTTTGTTTTTAAAATGTTTTTAAGATATGCTCCGCTTTAAATATTTGTTCACTTTAAATGATCACTATTACCCAGTCTCTGTCTGGTTAGCGTTTGTTTAAAATATTTATTTTATATTAGGTTAAAATTAATGGTTTTTATTGTTTTTAATTTCTTTTTAATGCTCCTTCGTTTTTGTTTTTCTCTTCTTTCTCATTTTAATCTTCAACCTGTTTGGTCCATTTCTTACCTGTAACAAACGAAAATAATAAGTACTTATAAAATTTAAACAGATATATGACATATTACTCATGTGTATATGATAATGCTAGAATTACAATTTCCTTTAACTTTTACTACGATAAATAATCTGATAATCGCGTGTTACAATTATTAACAATAACATAAGATTTAATTTAGGCTACGTAAATATAACTTTAATATGTAGTTTAATTAAGCATAAAAAAAATCATTTGGTGTATATAACAATAAATATAATACAAATAATGAAATAGGACGTTTTTCAAAATGAAATAATAACTAGGTACATATAAACTATATATATATATATATATAATATATATATATATATATATATATAGTATACCTATACATACATAATAATATAAAAACATACATTTTATTAATGTATTATTCTTTGGTCGTCTTTGAGTTAAGTAATGGGAAAAATTTCTATCAAAATAAATCTAGTAATGTCTCTAAAATACAGCAAAGAAAATTTTGTTTTAGCTTTTAAGGTTTAAAAATTAAAATAGACAAACATGTCTTAACACATCAAACACTTTTATATAACAAAATTTAATACCAATTATTCATTCGAATCAACTTCGAAAATCTCATACAATTAATTTTCCATATTTTTATAGCACCTAAATTCACTCACGTACTTTGAAGAATTGTTGAGATTCACTGACAAGACAACGAGCGATTTACTATGTAAAATACCACTCAAACAAAAATAACTTCTATTCCGTATAAATAAATACTGAAATAAATCTAGCATTAAAAATGCACACATTTGCTGTCTCTTTCTAATGCACAGGACTAGCATAAGAAACAGAGAGATGGCAAAAGGTCGTATGGGGGCAAATGTTAAATCTTTGGTGTTTTAAGTAATTTTTATCATCGACACGATCGAGGGAGGCCTCGTTGAAATATGGAGCTGACGGGTTGATAGTTATGTGCCACTAAAGTTATTATCGATGTCGATGTTTATTGTTTATATTATTATAAATAAATATATTTCTGGTTTGTGAAAAATAAAATAAATTTCTTTGCATTGTAATCGACAACTGCATTATCATAAAAAAGTAGTCCATTTAACTATTCACAAAAACTAATCTGGCTGTTGGTTTCGATGGATGTATATCTATGTATAATAATTAAAATAATAATTATTATTATAAAAGCGAAAGCAAAATTATATCTCGTGTAATAAATTCTTTTAATGTATGTCAAAACTCGTTCTATATGATTTCATCCGTCTGTAAACTAAATAGTAACAACTAACACTCGAGTAATTTAAATTTGATGTTTAAATTAATTGCCTCTATATATCACCAATATATTGTTTTAAGCATTTATTTACATAATTTTGCAATAAAGAATGTAGATTAGTCATGTGAAGTTTTGATTTAATTAAAAATTTTAAGGTCAATAACTGGTATTATAAAATGTTGAACATGTTAAATCATATAATAAGAAAAAAAACTTTTTTTTACTTTGTACAGTACATTAAAGCTAAACCAGTAAAATAAATGAAATTAAGTGCAAAAAAGTATATTGGAAATAAAAAGTTAAATTACTTAATTTTCTGTATTTTTGTAAAATCCCAATAAGCTTAAACTACGCCATAATATAGAAGATACCTACGTAGTATACCTAGATTATAATAAAATGTTAACTTATGTTATAATCTATAGTAGTTTAGAATATTTCTTTTTAATTAATTAACCGCTTTCAGTAAAAATATTTTTGGTCTAAATCTAAAGTATTATTATAATTTAAAAAACAACAGCATTACAGTAAGTTTGTATATCTTTGAATAAGTGTTATGTTATCTAAAAAAATCTAACTTTTTTTATATAAGTAAATATTATGGATATAAAATATTATCGTTCACTACATATAACCTATTTCATTAGTTCTATTTTGATAGGTCATTCGTAATTTTAAAATAACGTAATATAATAAGAACAAACTGAACATCGCCATTAAAAAAACTTTGTAAGTTTTTATTTAAACAATAAATATACCTACAAAATAATATTATTTTCAGCGTTTATAAAACTGCTATAATAGCATTTGGCTGAAACCCAAAGAGGTTTCATTTGTCAACATTCGAGCGACAGATTTTTTTCATAATATAAATACTTCTCACCCACGACGTGTAATTGACCTACACTTCAAATTATAAAAATATTATTGTTTTAGCCTATTTCATTTTTAAGTTTATTATCCACCCTCGCATTACCTAGATGCTAAATTTATAATTATTAGAATTCCAATCCACATATTAAAATATCAACCTTAGATCCCTATTTAAATCCCCCGCGTTTGGTGGGTAGTAGGAGTAGTATGTAGGGGTTCTTATTCCAATTTACAAATGAAAATGGAATAAATAGAGAGAGGAAAACTTTTATTACATATACAAATATAAAAATACTAGCAGATCCAGCGGCTTCGCTCGCGCTAAAACTACAAAAAAAAACTCTAAAATGGTAGGTTTCATACATTAACGCTATTTTACCCCCTTATGGGATGAAATTCGAAAGATGCTAAAACACGTATTTAATTAATTGTACTAAAGAGCATTTATACCAAGTTTCAAGTAATTCCGATCATAAATATTTTTTGAATTGTATTATAACGTGTTTTCCCGTGGTAAAGAGATAATCGCCCGGGGTAAAAAGTAGTCTATGGCACTCTCCTGCCTTCCAACTATCTCCACACAAAAAATCACGCCAATCCGCCAAGCCGTTTCGACGTGCAAGAAAGACAAACAAACACACTTTTACATTTATAATATTAGTATGAATATAAAAATTAATAAATATTAACATTATAAATAAAACTATGTATTTAAAAACAATATATAAATAATTTATTATAATAAATTGTGTATTAGTATTATATAGTTTCATAAATAAATGCTAATAAATAAAAATAGCTAACGAATTTTATTTAGCAACCTAATAAAGAACAAAAGAATTTAATATTTAAGGAAAAGAAAAGCAGTTATTGATTAGAAAATACGAAAGAATATAGTAGATATTAGGTAAAATGTTTATATTAAAAAAATCCCTATAATCTAAAGAAAGTAAACAGTTCTATTAGCAACATTATGAATAGTAGCATAACTAACAAATTCACGCTGCTATTTTCAACTTTGAAAATTATTTGGGGGACTTGATATACCTATTATAATTACAGTGCAAGACCTAAGTATGATCCGGCTGTAATAAATAGTATAAATAAGGTAACTAAGTCTAAGTTTAGTTTTATTTTTAGATTTATTATAGCTCAAATTTAAAACAAATAAACGTAATAAAGACTGTAAAAATGAAAAGCATTAATAAAACTTCTATCATTTTCGAGTTTCATCATTATTAGACAAGCTTTAACTTAGTTTGCCAAATATCGACTCAATCAGATGACAGCAAATGATTGTAAAATAAACATTTAAATATGATTCACATTGTAAACAAATATTATCGTTAAATCCCATCACTAGCACCCCACGTGGCGTCGATCTTATCACGACCAGCTGTAAAACACAAGATTTATCGACAGATTACCCCGCGATATGGTACAAATCGCCTCACTATGTGATTTTCAATGTTAGTGGGATGTGAAGCTCGGTCATACTTATTGTTATGGGGTTCTTTTATTGAGAACTATACAATAACCCGTGACTTTACTCTCACAAGTTATCAGTTGTTATGTTCATCCAATTTCATGCACTCTTGTAACAAAAGAAATAGGAGCTAGTTACGAAATCATTATAATGTTCTACTCTTAAAATAAAACTATATTTTCGGATTATTTCGCGTATTTATTTTGATTTTAGGTTGCCGACGTTTCGAATGCTTTACAGCGATCATGGTCAAGGGAGAGACTAAGGTTTTAGACGTCTCAAAGGCGTTATATGTATATCTACTTGTTACAGTAGCAAGTAGTCGGGAACCAAAAATAAAAATAAATCCACGAAATAATCCGAAAAGATAGTTTTATTTATAATGTCAAATATTCGCGTAAATCTAAGAAAGTATAATATTCTACTTTTTTTATTTACTACATAGTAATTTATTGCTATTTCAGTCAGATTATAATATCCTAAGAACATCTTGGCACAGAAAAAAAGCATGCCATTATCCAGGTCATAAACTTTTTTTAAGCTAAGTCGTCAGTAATAACTATTATTATAAATGGCAAAGTTTGTGTCTGCTTGTATGTTTGTTACAACTTCACGTTGAAACGGCTGCACAAATTTGGATGAGTATACATATAGATTATGACGTGGAGTAACACATAAGCTACTAAGACAACTAAAACCTAAGTAAGACCTAAGGACGCCTCCGTGCTAAATAAAGGTAGCTCGCTAGGTAAAACAATAA